TCTGGATAGTGAATATCAAAGAAACTGAAATAAATTTTATAATTTAATTTTGAAGCAGATACCTTATATATATTCAAAATACCATGTATTAATTTGAAAATGAAAAGCATTTACCTTGCAGCACAAATATTAAATCTGGCAATAAAAATGACAGTAAATGCGACAACTAACTTGGACATCTTGGTTTGTCTTTCTTCTTCAGGCGATTCCTAGTGTATCTCTGTGCCAGATATTAATCATTAAAACCTAACTAGTAACCAAGGATTGCAACCGTGTGTACAGTTTTCCTAAAATGAATCTAAGCTAACTGTGTTTTGTTGACTATTCTACAAAAGGTATGAAATTAATTCCACTCTTAATTAAATTGATAAATATGAACGAGTCATCACTTATAATTACTATTGCTCTAGTTTGTAAGAAACATAAAAATCTCCGGAAAAGAGATGGAAAAATAAAGAAATAAAGCTGTTTAAAAAGAAAAAAAATATGCAAGAAAAATGTTTTTCATGTCTAACTGAATTTATACTTTTGAAACAGTACACCATGTTATGGATGTTAGCTTTGGGAACTGCCTGGTCTTTGCAGATTGTTTCATCAGCTTCGTCTTCATTCGAGTAAGTCAAGCAAAAGTGATAGAATCATTATCAATTTAGTGAGTAGTTCAGTCAATAAAAAACTAGAAGAATAGTTTTTACTGCTAAATATCCTTTCAGTGCGCTAGTTGTACATAGACCACACGTGGACGTTGTTGCCGAACAGAATGGAAACCTCACCCTTAAGGTACGCTGCTGTTTTGCATCATGAAATAGGCAGACTATCAATGGTGCGAGATAAATTATAATTAATTCAATGAATTTAACATTTTATTGACAATCTAGTCTGGCTACAATGGAGATATCAGACTCGTACCAGGGGCCAACGAAACCGGAAGTGTATATTTTGACGGAGAGGACCTTCTCCATATCATTCAGGTATACTTCATTATTGTTTCCTAGATAATGATTTGAAAACTAAAGAATAGAACACGTCACATGGAATGATTAAAAGTAGATGCAAAATCAAAATATATATAATCATGTAATAACAGCGATTTCTTTTTACCCTGTTGTCTTAACTAGCACCCTGAGTGCAGCGGTTTATTGTTTGCGAATACCTGTACGACATTTTGGCTTCGTGCTCATAACTCTTTGTGCCTTTCGGATGAGTCTTTGGCAAAACATCCAAAACAGGGCATCTTGAAAGAATATATGATCATTTAAGATTAGAATCTCTACTCTGCTTCTTCCCATTTTTTTTTAAATAATTGAAATGCAAAACATTATGTTGAAAATTAAATTAGTTATAAATTAACAGTCATGACATTTATTTACAGCTTATCGTAAGTCTGCCGCCGGTATGGGATGACCATTCTCCTTTCGGCTATGTAGGAGAATTCCATAGTGGTGAAAGGGTTAATATTCAACTGAAGGCAAAGGTGAGCAATTTGGAGTTTTAAAATTTTCTGTTATAGTCTTTCATTTTCTTAAAGAATGTCTTCTTAAGTCACTTTGTGGCGATACATGGTTACTGTGATAAATGGTTACTAAGTGTGATATTCGATCCTGACAATACATGTAGCAAAACTTCTACTTTGATAGAGATTCTATCTAGAGAAATATAATATACTAAAAGTACACGAAATGTTTCGCAAGTGGATTTTGAGAAGAAAATGTAATATTGTTTTTAATTTAAGTTTCTAATTTCTCCAACGTAGCATGATAGGTACACTATATCTAGTAATTGAAATATTTCTTAGGATCCAGAAGGAACAGCGATAACATATCAGCTTATAGGTGGGGAACTACCACCCGGAATCAGACTGGACCAAGTGAGGGGCATCCTTAAGGGACTTGCCCCCAATACAGAGGAACTCTTCACCTTCACCATTAGAGCATTTGATGAACATGGAAAACACGCTGACAACGTTTTTAAAATGTTAATTCGAGGTAAATTGTTTACTAGATATCAAAGCTCTCGGAGACACGTTGAAACTTTGAATGATTTTAAATTCGTTTTATTTTGAACAGGGGCTAATAAATGTGACTCCAATCCTTGTGTTCATGAAGGACGTTGCGAGGAAGTAAACGGAAGTTACGTATGTCGTTGCCCACATCCTTACGGCGGAAGGACTTGCAATTTGGGTAGGGCACTATTGTCATATCACATCGTGCTGTATTTACGTAATACTTATAATTTATTTATCATAATCAGAAAGCATGTACATGTATTTAAAGAAACAACCCAAAGGGCAAGTCTTAGATACCTTGAACTTACAAAATACACGTATTCATTGGCATTCTTACCTATAAGATATTTTCTTGATACTTGGAGAATTAGCTGTAAAATATGACAGTAAAAGTATAAATAATACAGATTGTAGGAGTAACAGCCTTGGAGTCAGACAGAGTAAACGCTGGATCCCTGATGCCCAGATGACGGCTTACAAAACGCAAAGTAGCGAATACGCTTATCATGGCAGACAGGATTATGGCGGTTACTGGCGAGGCAAAGATGGAACGTCCTGGCTACAGGTGGACTTAGGTATTGTACCAAAATATTAAAAAAAAAACGTAAATTATTTTTTCTTTGGGTGTGCATTACAACTGTACAAATCTTTTTATTTTTTTTTTAGGCCTTTAAGATGCCAATTTTCTAGTATAGAATGTACATGTCTATATCTCATATTAAAATGCTGGACGTTTTGAAAAGCCTCTTTCAAAAAGATATATGATAAATATAGTCAAATGTAGAAGATTGTCATTGGATATGGTAAAACGGCTTAAATTCAATGTTATGGCCCTTAAGAGTGATTCATTCAAGATTTATGTAGAACATTAAATGTCTTAGAAAATTATCCGTTGAACGTCAACAAAGACCAAAGTACGTGTATATCTCATCTCTATAAATGCCTTTTTAAGGTACGTTCAACTTTATATTCTAAAAGTTGCATACAAGAGCTCAGATCTAAATCTTCATACCTTTTCTCTTTAACCTTCCAATGCCCATGAACCGGTCACGGTGGCCTAGTGGTAAGGCGCTCGCTTCGATCGGCAGGCCCGGGTTCGATTCTCGATTTTAAAAACCGAGGTCCCGTGTCACAGTAGGCGTTGGCACGATAAAGAACCCTCACTGCTCAATGGCCCTGAGTGCCGAGTATAGGTCTAAATTTGAAGCCCTTCACTGGTATCTGGAATGGGATATTAAACAACAATCAATCAATCAAATGCCCTTGAATTGGAATCATTTCAGTTCTTTCAGAAGCAACTTTCAAGTCAAAATGCCTCAAAACTTTCATATTCAATGGAAAATCATATGCAAATCATAAACTTTATATGAGTATACATTCAAGGTTAATGTTTAATCCTTTAAGAGATTTTATTAATTTCATAGGTAATGTCACTCGTATATACGCGACGGTTATGCAGTATTATGGAAGTCGCCAGTACACAAGTTCTTACAGCCTTCAGTATAGCACTGACGGAAACAACTTTCATAACTATACTGTGGGAGGCCACCTATCGGTTAGTGTTTTCTTTCTTAATGCTTCATTTTAAAAAAATAAATCTTCATTTTCAAAGATAAATTTATGATATTTTACCCTTACGTGAATACACTGTATGTATAAAATTGTAAAATGATTTTCTTTTCGAATGCATTTTAGACGTTTTCGGCTGGTGCCAGCACCTACACTCGACCCCTTCCAGAGCCTCTAGACGCCCGATTTATCCGTTTCATTCCGCATGGATGGTATTCCTCATATGGACCGTATATGAGAGTGGACATTCTTGGTTGTCATTATTACACTCTTTAATCAATAAAAGACAATCAAAAAAATTGTTTCGTTAATGAAATGGACATTGATTTCCTCACTTTCATACACTGAGTACTTGTTTCTATGGTAGTTGTATTCACTACAAAATTAAGATTTTTTTCAATGTTTTTTTTAATATGACAATTAATTGTCATTTACAAATGTCAATTAAAAAAAATTAAAAATTTTATAGAAAGTTGTCAGTCTTTTCTGTCTATCTGTCAAAAATTTCGGACCCTTTATTGGAATGGATTCCAACTGTTGTTATGCTTTTGACCATGATCTACATATATAACTAACGCATGGTCATACATCTTAAGTTGACGGTCATGAGGGCAATGGGATTTTGGCATCAATATACATTTTTTAAAGTCTCCAACTTTTTAACCTTTGATTTCTACGATACATACAAAAAAAATCTCAATAACTCCGATTTCCCATGGAGAATAAAAAATGCAAAAAGCATGGAAGGTTTTTTGAGACAATAAACGATAATTGAAAAAAAAATACACAAATATAACCAAACAAATATCAACAAATACAAAAATATCATACTCTCCTCTATGATTATTAAGTTTTTGAAAAACCATTTGTGCCATCTTCGAACCATTAATATAAGATTAAATACCGGTACAAGATAATTGTAAAACAAACATAAAGCCCGTTCTTGTTTAATTTAGTAGATGCTTTTGTTAATTTGTTTCAGTCTTTATTATAATCACGTTCCAAAGAAATGTTGAATGTTGGAATAAGATGTTACATACACTTTTACCTCAATGTCTTGGAAGATTGATATAGGAAAAAAAAACAACAACCTTAAAGGGGTCGAATTTAGATTATTCCGAAATAAATAAACAAACAAACGATTTTCGTTTTCTTAAGAGCACTTGTTTTTGTCTGGTGAGAAAGAATTCAAATCAGGCTTTCAATCTGCAACTTATTGTCGTCTAAGAATTTTATATGAAAATGCGCATGACATAATTTTTATTACGACCACAATCGTACTTGTTGAGTTGGCGTTGTCCTCTGTTTTGTTTACCGATACAATTAGCACTCATTTATTCTGGGCAGATCTGAGTTCTTGTAAATCTTTGTTGAATTTATTTTGAAACTATAATATTAATAGCGTATAGGTTAATGGATACATAAATTGGTTGCTTTGGGAAAAAGGCATGAAGAACAAATGAGGATATTACGTGATTCAAAGATGGCGGAATTCAAAATTCAATATGGTGCGTGACTGGGTTTTAAGTTTATTTTTCCTTTGGAATATTTTCATCCACCATCAAGCGACCGCACAAAATCACGAACAGTAAGTATTTTTTATGTAATATGTAATAATACAGAGAACGCAATACTTCTCAGTAATATACCTATCAAATAATATTAATTTTACAGTGCATAATTTATAACTTTATATTGTAAACATTAAACCCTATCAAAGTCTGGTGTCATTACAGATAAGTATAACAATTAAAACTGTGTTTTGCCTTAAATTCCTTAAAATTTGTTATATCAAAATATACTGTAATATAGGCCCTATAAATAGGATATACCTGTATGTCATATACCTGCTGTATAAACCCGTATACGTAAATATTTTAAATCTGTCATTTAATCAAATTTGAATCAGCTTCCAATAGATAATTCCAATCTCTATCGAGTTTATTTTCAAAATGGTATAACTGTGAAACCAGAGTAGTTCCGCAATTCGTTTTTTTTTTTTTTTTTTTTTTTTTTTATCAGCATGTACATTATTAATGACCGAGTTTTATTTAAGAGTTTTGCAGATTCACTTTCCGAGTGTTACGATCGCAGCCCAGAAGAATGGTTACCTATCGGCATCTGTAAGTCAAGTTTAGACTTCTCATTTAAAAGTTAATTAAAATATCGATTTTCCGGAAGCATAAAACATTTACTTTATGTAAATTTTAATTTCTGATAATAAAACAGAGCATGGCGTACGTTTTATTTAGACAGAAGATGGCGGAAACATTCATATTAACTCCGGAGGAAACACAACTGGTGTTTATTTTGAAAATGTGAACTTGTTCAGAATTATCCAAGTAAGAGCTAAAACATCCCATGGATGAACTTCTTTACATATAATTAAGGATGAAGAATACTAAGCCATCTTACTCTACATCTGAAATTAACAGAATGTAATATTAAGTTATACAGACTAAATAATCTGTCTTTTTGCTATGAGACAGTATACATATGTATATATAGTTTTATGGAAAATTTCAGCATCATGTTTATTTTTCACTCATCAATATTTCTGCTTTAAGTATCATTATACCAATATTCCTTAATGTATATCACAATTGCACCTGTCTGTCTTAATCAAGATTGCCTTGAGTCTTCCTCCTGTGTGGATAAACCATACGGACATTGGATACTCTGGAAGATTTGAGGGCGGAAAACATTTTGAAATTCCCTTAAAATTAATGGTAAGTCCCAACTTCTTTAAAGACTCTTAAAGTATCCTCCTCACTGAAAACTTGCCTTACCTTATTTAACGTTTCTGTCAAAATAATTTATTCATATTTTTTCCTACGTCACATAATATATTTCACAGGTACCTCCACAACTTTTTTTTAATGGCAGGCATATCAGTGTGACTGTCAAAGATCTGGTGTTCTATAATAGTTTTTTTCCCCCTAATCTCTTCTGCTGTGTATTTTTTGCTTTCCGTCGTTTACTTTTCCATTTTCAATGTTATTATAATATTTTTGTATTCCTCCTTAAAAAATAAAATAAATCAATAGAATAAATATATAGCTCAGTCGCCTTGGCTTCGTACTTATAAAAGATAACAAAGAACCATAAAATACTTTTTACAGGTACCTGGATCCGGAAATCTGACTTTTGAAATTGTTGCTGGATCACTTCCACCTGGAGTGTTCCTTGATTCAGGAAACCGCCGGGTATCCGGTATTGTACCAGATCACGATGCTGAGTACACCTTCACTGTAAGAGCTAAAACCGAATATGGAAAGTTTGCAGATGCCATTTTCCGATTTGATTCCTACGGTAAACGCCTGGAGATCTATAAATCGTTATAAATTGATACTTGTTTTTGAAGCATACAACTGGTGATACTCTTACAGAATATTCTGATGGATAATTTTTCTGTTTTAGAATCGGACCAATGTCAAGAAGACCCATGTCACAATAATGGTTTCTGTAACGATACACGTGAAGGCATAGGCTACACGTGCATATGTAATGGGCAATATGGAGGACTTCAATGTGATACAGGTTATAATGTACTCTCTCAAACCATTGTTAATATACACATGTATCAAAGTCAACAATAATGATCAACAAGAGGTTTATAGCCTACATCAAATTTTGAGCAAAGACTTACACGAGTTTATACTAACTTTTCAAATATCCCACCATTGTTTTGAACTGAATCATGATATATGCTTAGCTTATGTTAATATGTTTTACGGTATGACCATTGTGGCGAGCGCAGTTGTACCATCAAAAACCTACATAATTATGTATACATGTACACAGCTTACACTTGCAACGTTGATGGATCCGCCTCTTCAAACTTCAAGAGACACAGTCTAGACTGTGACGTCACATGAAGTCGGAATTTACGGAGACAGCCGAACGTCTGGTTGAACGAGACTAGAGGGTCTTGTGCAATCATAAATAAAATACGTTGTAGAGTAGATGCAATTATTTTTTTGTTTCTTTTAAGCTCTCTGCAAAGAAATAAAAATAAACGTATCTCTTGGTAAGGAACAATTATCCTTGGTCTTTTGTATGTTTTGTAATAATTTCGCATGGAACCCTGGTAGCGAAGGAATTCTGGGAATGTTGCACCAGAAAATTTGCTTGACGTGTGTACAGATTTCGTTCCGAATTTCCTCTGTTCTTACACGTTAGTCTATTGAGCTCGCTGCGCTCACTATGGATATGAAGAGTCCATAATGATAATATAATTCTGGTAATTTATCCTAGATTGTAGATTAAACAGTCTAGAAATTAGAAACATAAATGTAATACCGGATGCTCAGCTATCAGCATACTTATCACGAAATCAGTCAATGGCTACGGAGGCAAGATTTGATAACGAGGCTTCATCCGGGTGGTGTGGAGAAAACGCAAACTCTTGGATACAAGTAGATTTGGGTAGGTCATTGACTTTAAAAGGCTTTGTTGACAAAATAAATCCATGATTACATGATGATGTTATAAAAATAGTTTTGAAACATGTATTATATACTATACTCATTACAGGTGATAAGGGGAGAATATTTGCTGTGACCACTAAGTCTGGGGACAGTAACCGATTGCTGCAATCTTTCACTCTGTCTTGTAGTACCGATGGTACCAGATTCTCAGACATTCTGGATACTAACAATACAATAGCTTACGTAGGTTGTTATACAAAATAATTTTTTTGGAAAGTGGCGCATGACAACCAGATACTTACTAGTTAGATGTATGTATCCTTCTAACGAAAAGCAAACGAATTTAAACTTCAGCTCGCTGTTGGCAAACAGATCTTGCTGAGAGGTTATTTTTTTGCAAGGTCAATGTCACATGGTGATGAATTCAAAAGTATGTCGCACGTTGTGTCGGATGTACAATGTAGGTTGTATTGAAAAACATTCATTGAAATATTCTGCAGTCCAAAATATGACAGTGTTTCACATTTTTTTTTTAGAATGTTTCAAAATATTAGGTCAATGTCTCACTATTAAGATCCGATTAACACGGCAAAGGGTAAAGGTGGAAAAGAGAAAACAAAAGTAAAATTGATTCTTTTTACTTCAGGAATTTTCCAGTGGTATTGGGGCATTAACGCAGCCCCTTCCTGACCCGGCCACGTGTCGGTTTGTGAGACTTCATCCCAAGTCCTACAAAGGTCATCCGTGTCTGATGTTTGAACTTCATGGTTGTGTTCCTTAAAGTAAACTAGTAATCTGCACGTGACTCATTCTTTAAAATAATTTAACGAATAAATCTTTTAAAACATTACATTGTATATTGTTTATTCTTCCTTCTGAATCAATGCGTTAAAACGATTGTCTGTTGGCAACCTTTCACTAATAAATGCGTAAATCCGACTTCTCTCTTGTCCTCATACGATTGCATGCAAGCATTGTTCTCTTCTTTTGATGAATATACATACCTTTTACATTTATCAATCTTTTAAGTCTAAAATTTTTTTCATCGAAATACTTTTGCTGAATACTGTTTAATTTTACACAGGACTTGAAAGGACAATATTGTAACTGGGGTATTGAGAGCCCCCTCCCGTTTTTGAAAATAGTTTTTCGCTGTAGTTTTAAAATAAAAATTTTCAACATTCATTTAAAGGCTGCTTGCCCCCTGAACCATTTCTTGGTGCAGTAAGTCGAACTATTGTAAATCAATTCTAGCTCTGGAAAAAATAATAAACGAAAAGAAAAAAGATTGTAACATCTCCCCCCCCCCCCCCCCCCAAGAAATATGATTTCGAGTTTGGGCAGTTAAGGTATTTCTTAATTCATATTTTTTTTCCTTGTCAAAATTTTTAGAACCTCTACCCTCTCCACTTTTTGAAAAACGTTGCCACTATGGGCCTTTTTCACTCTTTTAAAGATTGATAGACATTTTTAAATAAAAAGCTACGTTTAAAAGTAGGCTATGTGTAATTTAAGAAAAATAATTTTGTGGCCTTCCTTCAGATTTCTATTTTTTTCTATCCCAGTAGCGTTACATGTTCGTACAATGATTTAGCGCTATAACTTGAAACTTGGGAATCGAAGGGTTTGATGCAGTAGTGGCTCATTTTTGCCTTGGTATCCCCAGTTTCTCGATGGCCAAGTCGTTTAGGAGGATAGGATTAAGGAAAATCTTTGGAAAGCCATGGAAGAAGTAAGTTAGCACTTTAATTAAAACTTCTTGGCTGCTGTGAAATAAAGACAAAAGGAACGCTAGGGTTTTAGCTACCTTCTGGTAAAATTACAAATACATGTATGTAGTGTAGTTTTTAAGAATTGCTTAGTTACTTAATACGACGACTTTATTTAAAGCGACAGTACGGCTGCAAAATGTGTGCTTTTTCATTCAAATTTACCCAATATATCATTAAGAAATAAGGAATAAAGTTGATGTAAGCAGTTTGAGAAACAGAAATATTCTCTCCTCATACAAAATAAACGTAATTAGAATCTGCCGGAAAATCAAGGGTCGTACGAACTGGAGCAATCTTAGATCTGTTTAATTATTTGTACCACGTGAATTCTAAAACGGCACGTGCCTACAGTGTAGAGTTTACAATGTATAATGAATATGAGGTAAAAACAATTTTCAAACGCAAACTATCATAACTTTCTAATAAAATAATCTAAAATGATAATCGTAAAGATTTTAGTCTGCTTTCAGACGAATTTAACAGAATTAAAAGTACAAATGTTGACGTTTTGTGTATTGGGGTCTGAGAAAGGAAGAAACCACCAAATTATACGTTATCGCGGCAAATGTCAAACAAAATATTTTTCTGCACAGTTAAAAAAAATTAGCATTTCAAATGGCAACAATGATTATAAGTCAAAGGCGTATTTTTATGTAGAGTTTACACTAATTTTTTTTCTTTGAAAACTAATTTTTTTTCGTTTGAAAACGATGGAAAAATGAGAAATAACAAGTACCCACAAACCTGTCGAGTTGAACCTTCGCGAGCCCTGCGTGAGTGTCGCCGAGTTCCCGTTCCTTCCTTATCCAACGATCATATTAATCCCCAAACTAAATTTTATTCAGGAAAGTTGCTTTTTAAGCTCTATTTTCAGTTTCTTTTTCTTTTTGGTCGACTTTGTCAATGTAGCAGGCCAACCGGGCTTCCCTCTCTTACCATGCTGTTTTGTTTATAAAAAATACGCATGCGTGCATAGCATGGAATGTGGAACCCCGAACACGTTGCGATGTATATATTTATGTCCCATAAATAACTATTAATTTTAATGAAATAATCAAAATTATTTAATTGTGAAAGTTGTAATTTTCTGAAAGTTTATACATTTATGAGTAGTAAAAAAATTCCAAATCTTGTCGGAAAATTTTATCAAGTCAGTTTTTTGGTGAGATGTGCCGTACTGTCACTTTTCACTTTTGAAACTAAATGAAGCAATTTTTTATTCAGGTTTAAAAATAGCTGAGGAAAAAAGTTACACTCCACTTTTTATTCCGTGACATTACGGAAACCAAAGAGATGACATTTCAGGCTTTCGGGAAAGCAAAACTTGTAATTATTACGTTTTTTCTTTACAAGCGACATTTTTCTGATTAAAAGAAAATAAATCCTGCAACGCCCGAGAGTTATCATTCTTCACTACTGCATTATTTAAATGACAACACATGGGACCGCATTCATTCAGTTGTATTAATTTTATAACCGTATTATCCTCTTTTCAGTGCATTACATTTTCCAGTTTGAACAGATTTTATGCTTCTTTTTAAAAATCTTCAGTATTTTATTTTATTTTTCAAATATAATTTTTATTTAGCATCAAATTTTAAAACAAATAATCAGTAAACATAATCATATTACCAATTATATAATTGTTTTCATATTAACTTCCTTTATTGTTAATAGTTTTTATGAGATTTGTCTTTCTCTGAAGAGCTAAGCTTGGTAGCGAGAGCAATTTCATGTAGAAGAGAACCCAACCCATAACCCAGCACAGAGGCCGACTTCATGTTATAAGCCTTAAATGACGGATGGATAGACACCACGATTGGTCGCCCTTTCAATCCTGCAATGGTGGATTTCTTAGACTTGGTGTGTACATAACGCCATTTCTTATGCGAAGGAAGGAATGTGGACTCAGGAGGCAACCTTCTTGCATACTTTTTCCAGTAGGATTTTACCCTTCTTTTTGGTGGATATCTTGCCTTGAATTTTCGTTTTTTATCTATTGGAAAACCGTGCAGCATCCATCTGTATCCCGACCTTGTTCCCAGGTCATAATGGTGTTTTCTTGGTTGATAACGATGTCTTTTATTTTTATCTTGGTATTTACGATGGAACTTTTTTGGAACTACTTTTTTCAACGGATACTTTCGTCTGTGAAAGTAATCTTTACCTTCCGGTTTTCTTCTTTTTGGATAAGATTTCCATGTTCCGGGTTGAATGTTGTTATCATTGTCGTCAGATTTCAGCGATTTTACAGACTTGAAGGATTTGAAATGTCTCAACTTCTTTCTACCTGAATGAAGTTTTCGGCCATAGTGAGAAACTCGGACCGATCGGTAGCGCATTTTTGTAGCATCACTAATGATCACTAAAAATACATTGAAGAATATATTTAAAACGTAAATATACCGTAACCTCAGAAGCAATACTTCTGTATTTGTGAACTTTGGACTTCGTTTTTTTTTAAACGAAAAAGATCCTTTTCATGCCCAAAGAATCTGGGGGAATAAGACGAGCCATGTGCCCATGCCCATTTTTCGGCTATGCAAGAACATTTATTGGAAAAAATCTCTCAATTGTTCGAATTTACTTAAGCATTTTAATGTTTGCAGTAGTTCTCAAAATGATATTTATATTCTAAACAAGCTAAACAGTTTACTTTCATTTACTGTCACAAGTGTCTAACATGGGTAGGGACTTCTATTAATTAATCTGCATATTGAGTGTTAACACTTATTGTGGAGATATCATAAAAATGTTAACATTGTATATAATGATAGTGGTGATCTAGAAGCGCTTGTAGTAAAAATAAATAAAAATGGGAATGAAAGTATTCAAATATCGATTCTAATTTTTATCCGGCATTCTAAATAATTTACTGTAAATGAGTTCATCACTATATATATATATATATATATATATATATATATATATATATATATATATATATATATATATATATATATATATATATATATACATTTTATTTCCAGTGAAAAATATGTTATTCCTATAGACATTTTTTATAAAGTAAAAAAAAAAAAATTAACCCCCTCCCCAAAAAATAAAAAATAAAAAAATCATGACTCGAACACTTTCCTCAATAAACGTCCCTTTAAAGAGCTCCTCGCTAACCACTATACCACGGAGTCACACATACATGTACATACCCATTTAAATAGCATACAGTTCTCTATATTTAGCAAGCGTATTTGGACTTAGAATTTTTTAAGACCACGGTGAAAATTTAAGTAAGTTAACTTAATTTTTTATGTAGAGTAGGTCTTCGTACCAAATTTTTGCAAGTGTAAAAAGCAACATCTTTCCATTGCCTTTCATTAATCGTTCTCAAAAAAATGGTACGATGACCCACTCTATTTAAAAAATGTAGTTATATCATCCAATTTATGTCATTTTTTGTGAAAATTGAGCGTGATGCCATTTTTTTGTGTTAATCAGAATCAATTTCGCTGTTACAGTATTCAGGTTTTGTCAAATTTGTATCCAAATGGTAATAAGCATTACACTAATTCAACAAAAAGTGAATTTTTTTAAAAATGAATTTATTGATTTTTTATCGATCGTTATGTAGGCATATGGCTCGGCTTATCCCCCCAGTTTCTTTAAAATAATCAAAAAATATATAATTATAAGAGACTAGGAGTCTTAGAGATATAAACAAATACCTGCTAAACTCAGGAGTAGAAATATTCCAAGGATATACTTGGGCATTTCTACTGGCTTTTTCGAGCACCTGCTCAGCCCAACTATGGACCTTATGTAGCACAACTATGTACGGTCTATACGAAAGTGGCTAGTACACTTGTCATATCTATAGGATTACGCACCAGATGCCCTTTATTTAAGATGTAGAAAACTTCCCTTTTCGTGTTAAACCATTTTTCTACATCGTTAATTTGGTTCAATCATTCATCAATTAGTGTTAATAAAATAAAACCCGTTATGTTTACCTCATATATACCTTTATATAAACGTGTAAAGGAGTTATCTCAACGGGAATTGTGTAATATGTGTCTTATTCTAGCAAATCCTAACCCGCTGTAGTTTGTAACTACAAAATGTACCTCTCTCTATATATCTTTTTTTTTTCATCATGAATAACTTTTGCAAAGTGAAACGGAAAAAAAATTATAACAGAATGTAGTTTTTGTTTTTAGTAAACATGTTGAGATTGATTAAAATATATCTTCGTTTCATGGTAATTGTCTTCATTTTAAAACATTTGAAAAGTAATTTTGTAGAACTACCCACCTACAGGTACCTGTACAGTTTAGGTGGACCACCAGAAAACAACAGATCCGTCCTTTGAAATTAAATTGAACAAAAGAGTTTGCAATGTTGGGGAGTTAAGTCTCGGAAGCAAAAAGCTGCCATCTTAGAATGTTAACCATATGTTTCTAACATCTTCTATTACTATCTCTACAGCAAAACTTTTAATCGTTTTACTGAACCTGATATATTTGGCCTGTTTATAATGCCTGAAAGATGCCGAAGAGTTGTTGATCATGCTTTGCAACTATAACAAAAGACTATAAAGAGGATGCTTTGTTACAACGCACTTTGAAACATTATTCGCTTTGAAAAATAAAATTCAAAGTGTGTTTAATTTGGGACCAAATTAACGCACTTTGAAAAAAAAATCTTATCAAAGTGCGTTAATATCGAACATATTAACGCACTTTGAAAAAAACAAATGTGCACGCTTGGTCAATATTCTTGTAATTTTAGGTATGATAAATAATTTTTTGAACGTGATTGGATAACTTTTCGGTGATGACTTCATTGCAGGATCTGAGATATCTAGACGTTTTAAAGATTTTTTGGGGTTTTGTCTTGTTTCCAAAGCTTCTAGCAAATGTTATACAATATAAAAAGAGAAATGAGTCTAGAAATAATGGAGGAATGATTGAGCACAATTTAGTTTTTTTTTATCCAGTCTGTAATAAGTTTGGTAGATGTAGGGGTCAATAAGTGATTTAAAGCATCGCCTTTTTATGCCCCCGTATCGAAGATTCGAGGGTATATAGTTTTTGCCCTGTCCGTCTGTCTGTCTGTTTGTCCGCAAAAACTTTAACATTGCGCATAACTTTTGATTGGTTGGAGTTTGGTAGATGTAGGGGTCAATAAGTGATTTAAAGCATCGCCTTTTTATGCCCCCGTATCGAAGATTCGAGGGTATATAGTTTTTGCCCTGTCCGTCTGTCTGTCTGTTTGTCCGCAAAAACTTTAACATTGCGCATAACTTTTGATTGGTTGGAGCTATAGCTTTCATATTTCACATGTGTATTCCTTGTGACAGGACCTTTCTTTGGGTACCATCATATTTGACCTTGACCTTGGAGTTTGACCCAGTTTTGCAAATTTTATCAAACTTTAACCTTGGCCATAACGGTTGATGCTAGGGTTTTCATACTCCAAATATGTAATTCTTGTGACAAGACCTTCCATTGGATTTAACAACTTTGACCCTTTGACCTTGGAGTCTGACATACTTTTGAAAAACTCTAACCTTGGACATAAGTTTTTAACGGTGGGTGCTGGGGCTTTCATACTTCACATATGTAATCCTTGTGACAAGACCTTTCTTTGGATACCACAACTTTGACCATATGACCTTGACCTTGGAGTTTGATCTACTTTTGAAAAAAATTAACCTTGGCCATAACTTTTTAACAGTTGGAGCTAGGGCTTTCATACTTCACACATGTAATCCTTGTAACAAGACCTTCAAATGGATACCAACAACTTTGACCCTCTGACTTTGACCTTAACCTACTTTTGGAAAACTTTAACCTTGGACATAACTTTTGAACGGTTGGTGCTAGGGCTTTCCTATTAACATGTCTATTTCTTGTGACAAGTCCTTCCTTTGGATACCAACAATTGTAATCCATTGACCTTGACCTTGGAGTTTCATCTACTTTTGGAAAACTTTAACCTTGGCCACAACTTTTGAACGATTGGTGCTACGGCTATCATATTTCAATTGTGTATTTCTTGTGAGAAAGCCCTTCCTTGGGCACCATTAATTTTGACCATTTGACCTTGACCTTGATGTTTTACTTACTTTTGAAAAACTAAAACCTTTTCCATATCTATTCAATGGTTGCTGCTAGGGCTTTCATATTTCACAGGTATATTCCTCGAGACAAGACCTTACTTTGAATACCAACATATTTGATTTGCATTTGAGAAAGTTTAACCTTTGCTATAAATTGCCATACGGGGGCATCAGTGTTTCACAAATACATTTTGTTTTTAGGGAAAAGGGAGCAATTATGATTTTTCCATTGAAAATGAGCCTCCATTCTTTAATAGGGTGCGTTATTATTTTTCAGGAAAGCTTATTTAATTTTTTTTTCATCTATTTTGCGTTAACTCAAATGTATTGAGAGAAAGTATATCAATGTCATACCAGTTATGCGTGTAAATACATATGATTGGGTAGGAAAGATAAAGAGTTGGGCTGAGGGACCTTCTACCTGTCTTCTCCTCGTTCTCAATGAGGGTAGATCAATTCATCAGTTTTTCGAAAGAAATATAACAAAATAATGCTGTCTATTACTAAAATCTAAGTCCAGAATTTTTGTTTTATACATATTTTTCAAAGTGCGTTAAGTGTCTCCATGGTAAAAAAAAAATGATGTACACTCTTAACGCACTTCGAAAAAATTTTCAAAGTGCGTTGATTTTGTCCCAAATTTAACGGACTTTGAAAAAAAAAATTCACAATGTCGCCACTTTGGTTTCGACAAGTTTTCCTATATATCAAGTATATGGAGGAGAAATATATAGCTCTTTTTTATTGTCAAGTTTATGAAAGAAATTCGCTACTAGATCCTTTGGTATACAATAGGAATGAAAAGGAATTGAATAAATGCCAATTAAATTTAGCCAGAGGATGTAAATTATCGTCATTCACTTAAAATCAAATATAAGAAAATATAGTTGCTCTGTTCTCCGGTACAGCTCAGATCACGTGATTGATTCGATCCTCCATGTTTAATCACATACATGTACTCCGTCTTTAACAGCTTATATGATAAGCTCGGAACCATACTTTATCTTATAAAATAATCTTTATCTTGCTTGAATTATGATCTTCAATTTTTGATTTGTAATCAGGATAAGATTAAATAAAAATATTAATCAAGGAAAATTGAATCTATATTATTTATTTAGGTTTCGCTTGTCTTTCTCTTTATTGTAAACAAAGACGAAAAAAAGAGAAGAAAAGATTTTTAAAAAGGAGGTATGGATGAATGAGATAATCTTGGATCGAACAAGATTTGTCATCACTTTCTGAGAGTCCATCTCGTGTGCTGCATGTCTCAGTCTTGTTTTATAAATGAAATCTAAACGTACTAGTCAAGTAAAATGGCATATAAATTAGCTTTATTATACATTGGATCATTCATACGAAATATGACAAACTATAGCATCTTTGAGCCTTCTTAGTATGTCTTTAAACCATTTGATATAAAATTCTGAATATAAAAGTTGAAAGTACTCTTAAACATGAGAAAAATATCAACTGCTAATGAAAAATAGAAATCTCTTAAAAAACGGATCCTTAACCAATCTTTTTCATAAAATCTTTAAACTTTTGATTGACGGCATGTTTTCGTTCTTCGTTAATCTGCAGTTTGCAGTTCATAATTCTTTGCCTCTGTGAGGCCATTGACATAGGAGCAGCACCAAATTTAGACTGACCAGCAAGGTGTGATTTCCACGCGTCAGATGTCACAGTGGGTCTCCTTTGGTTCAGAATCTCTGATATTCCAGCATTCCATCCCAGTGACGTAGATGCGCGGCGTTCCTCACGAGCATTTCCTTTACTACCACCATCAAGTGGCATCAACTGTCGTGTTAGAGATTGGATATTTGCAGAACTATGACTGCGCACTCGCTTAGTTCCTTTTTCATGCAGACTTTCTCGTCTGGGTCGTCCTTGATTTGCTTTTATGAGTTTTCGCGTGAGACTTGACGACCCAGACATCCATGATAACGAAGTGCTCTCGGAGTGTAGCGACTCTTTGTCTGAACAGGGATCGTTGTCCCCCGCATTGTCTCTGGGCGGCAAAGTCGTCACAAATGTGGCTCGACCGACAGGACTACTTTGTGGACGAACGGCGGACGGTAAAACAGAAGGAATAGATGACAAACTGCTGGAACTTCTGCTATTAATTGCTGCCGACTGTGAACGCTTGAACCGTCTTTTCTTGCGACTGACGATTCTTTCACCGTACATGAAACAAGGCCCTTCGTCTTCTCGTTCGTACTCCTCTTCAGAATCAGGTGCTAGGCCTTCAGGACTGTGTCCGCTACAGTTGTTAATGTAGTCTAGTGTCAAAGAAATCAATCGTATATCTTGGTTTATGACTCTTTTGGAATGAATTTTCTCTTTCTCCAGTAGATTTAATTTTCCTTGGAGTTTTGCATATTCGATGTTGTTTATTCTATAAGCTCTCTGTATTCGAGAGGAACTGAAACTCGGTGCCTCCAATGCCGGCATTGCAAACGGTTAAAATATATTTCACAGAATATTTCACTTATCTTCTCTGTTAGAATTTGGAAAGAAACGCATGTGACGCATAATGGGTGACAAAAGCATTTTCCTTTGATTAAGAATACGTGAAAAAAATGGTCCAATCACGTGGTGTGCAATTGCATTTAGAGCTTTGTTCTACGATTAAAAAAAAATTAATCCTGTTGGAAAGTCTTCGAAAATTAGTAATTTGATGCCAAGTTTTTCACTTCTTCGTCCATTAAGCACTTACTAATGATTAATTGATATAGAAATTAATTAATATCATTTTCCTATATATCGTTAATTGCGATAAAACATCGCCTATGGTGTTCGCCGGTCCTCGCGTTTCCTTCTTATGGAACAAAGCGGGAATTAGGCTAAAAAAATATAATCCTTTAATATACACAAATCTCACCCCCAGTCTATAGATACATAGATGGTGTATTACACATAAAATTCCAGTCTGCACTACAAAACGGTGTATCCAGTTTTGTCGAAGCTCCACTCTGTTTGCCTTATCAGCCTGTTCCGAACTCTACCTGCAAATATACCGAGTTCAAACATTCAATCCACACCTATAAAAATCGGGCATTAAATACTAAGCCACATGTGATAAAGGAATTTGGGAGTCAGATTTACGTATAAAAGACCCCCAAATCGATTAATACAATCATTGGAGATTTGAAATTTACGTTATCTAAACATTCAATATTTGGACAAGTAAAACTCTCTCTCTCTTTTTGGAATTGAAACCCAGATCCTTAAAACTATAGTTTTGTTTTCTGAAATTAGAATGTGCTTTTACTCGATGATATTTGCTGTAAATCAAAAACACATATGCATTTTTCATTTTCTTTCGCCATTTAGCATGGGCTGTATTGTGATAACTAAAGACATATACATACACATGAACATTTGTTTCTCAACTATAATAGATACTCTCATTTAGTCATAAGCACGGGAAAATTGATTTTGAATTGTTTTAAATCTCAAATTGCATTAGAAATTTGCTACTCTATAGAACACAATCCATTAACAATTTACATAGCACTTCTCAGTAACAGGTGAATTGAGAGGATGATAAAGCTCTTTTCAATCCAATGTATATAAATTGCAAAATCAATTTCAGTGCTGACTGAAAAATTATTTGTTTCAATTTTACGTCAATATTTTGTCTGCGGAGTGAATGGTGATTCTAATCTGCGCTCGATAAACACAATGAAGGAGAAAGATTTAAAGAATTAAATTTCTCAAACATAAAATAGAAACAAGAGAGGTAATTTAATAATTTTTAGGGTACAAACAATCTTAAGTAATATTCGGTTTCCTTGCTTAATGTGTGCCATAGATAGTTTTTTTGTATAGGTTTGTGTTGTATAAATCTGCTCATTTTATTATTTTACTTTAAAATATGAAAAATGAATGACTTAATATGAAAAAAAATTATTTGAGGATTCCTTATCAGCTTAATATATAAAATTCTCATTACTTGAACAGGTGGAATGATTTGGTGTTTTTAATTGACGACACTTCTGCTCATTTAAAATTCAGATTTTACGTAATTAATAAATTATGTTTGAGTTGATTTGAAAAATTCTATTCAACCTTTTAACAAAGAAGTGAATGCTGTTTCACACTGGATATGAATCTGCTTTGATAAATATCCCAGATGTTAAACGCCCCAATCGTCAAATGATAAATTGACATACAGTAAACAAATGTAAATTAAAGACTGAACAAATGTAAAAGCTAATTTTGCAACGATTTCGCTTATATAAAAACGCTTTAAAATATGGAATGAACAATAAGAAATTGCAAAGAAAATTTCTGAATCATTTGGTAAAATCAATTATGTTGTATGTACATGTACCCTTATTAATGGTAGAAAAAATTATTATTTTGAAAGTCCAAATACAAGACAGAAGTCGAACATATACTTACCGGGTACCAAGATTAGGTACTGTTTACCAATTCACCAAGAAAACGGCATGCATAAATTTGTCACCGCTACAACCTTACATAATAAATCAAAACTCAAGGTAAATAAAACCCGACGTGTATTGATAGCCTAGGTCCTTCTGAACCCACGTCTTACGATAGAGGACAACTTGGCTTGATTTAGGATCTAGTGAGGGGCAGAATATCAGGAACCGACCACATTTAACACTGACATTATAAACACTGAAAGTTTGATTTATGGTGTACTTTGTTCTTACCCTCTAAAACAATTCTTCATTTTGGATTGCCAACATCGGAAATACTTTAACATACTCCACACGGCTTTTTAAACATAATGGCTTTAAATCTGCCATTATTGCCTGTGTCTATGATGGGGTTTTCACTCCGAAGTGCCCCTCAACGACAATAATAAAAATTTTAAAGAATGCCATAAAATGACTTTAACTTGGTGGCAGTTTTCTCTCGGCTCTTTTCATTGTTTGCTACATTTTTCTTTTAGCTCCGTGGGTGTCACATTTCTGAACAAAATCAAGGTACAGTGAAAAACGCGTTAACATATGTTTAAAGTGTCATAATAGTAGTTTGAGAAAAATAAATATTTACCACCTACCAAAGTGTAAAAAAAAAAAGACTAGGCCAAACATTAGGGTCAATTTATTCGTGTGAAAATCTTATCAACAGTGGCCAAATAAGAAATAATTGCCTCTGTAAATATTGGCCATCAGGTAAAACTGTTCAGGGTGCTGAAAGACATGCTGTAAAATACCCGCTAATGTGTGCTGAATAAAGTCTTACTCAAACAACAGAAATTTGAGCTATATATCTACAGATTTTTAATTGACATGCAAAACAAATATAAGTTGTAGATTTTCTTTTAATTGTGCCATTTATGGATAAATGCAGAAGCGGGGGGGGGGGGGGGACACAAACAGATCAGAAAATACGTGAATATTCATTGACAAGTGATTCTAAATTAAACATATTTTTAGTAAGGAAATAATGTTATTAATATTGAATAATCTTGATAAAAGCTCTTCTAGACTTTTTTGTTTTGAATTAGCTAATCTGAAAACAGACGAGAGGGCTATTTCCACACTAAGGTAGCCACAACAGATTATCACCAGCTCAAACAACAGATTACCGATAGAAAAAAAAATCACATTGACCCAGTGCGATAATAAACACCACATTCCCTGGCCCAAATGATTACCTCATATTTAATCTTAAAGAGAGAGAGAGAGAGAGAGAAGATACTATATATATATATATATTAACATGTATATTAAACATATGACAGAAATACTCGTTTTTTCTCGTTCCAGATATTATTTTAACAAACAAAAATATGCAGATATATTTACCAATTGACAGAGGGTAAGACAAAGAAAATTAAATGGAACTGATTTTTCATGTGAAAAGATTTTTTTAACAACAGGAATTTTTTTTCAAGGATCAATGATGAGGCAACAAACACACAAACAAACAAACAAAATATCATTACCTGCCTAACCAAGAGTGTCGCTCACGTGTGTTAACGGAAACCACATGTCTCTTATGAGAAATAAACAGAACAGAGATAGTAAAATTGCTAATACCTCCTCTACTGATCGAACAGATTCTTGCAGAGATTTTAAACGTACAGATAAATTAAGCGATAATCTGCGGCTTACCTGCTTCAGGTGACGGCTTTGATACCGGGCATTCTTCATTGATCTTGCGCCGCCAATCGCGGTTCCAAAATGGAAAATTAGATTTCACTTATCGATCACAGATCGATCACAGTTGATCAATGACCGGGTTAACATTTTTAATAACACCTGGTTGACTTTTATCAGTTGTCATATCGAGTTTCTACTTGGTGTACTCGGGAAACCGTACGTCAGAAACTATAATATATATACCTTGTAGTCACAGAGGTATGTGTACCTGTATTTACCAGGTATATACATACCTACACAATCTGCATAAGTCTTATCGACACGAGTCGACACATTTCAGTTTGGAAAAGAAACAAAAGAAAAATCGGATTAATAGCGCGGTAAATAAATACTTGTATATTGATATTATTCGAGAGCTTACTAGAGCACTCCGTAACACCACACACGGAATCAGAAAAATGATGTGCGAATACGGCTCCTTAAAAGTGACTTAAACTGAGTCAAAGTATAAATGGGGGTGGGGTGTCAACGTTTCGTAGTTGCACGAATATGGATTTGTTTTTCACGAGTGGGGTCGGATTTTTTATAATATATTTTCACGAATGAAATTGAAATAAAATCATATCTAATAATTGCAAAACACTTAATTTTCAGTTTATTACATTTTCTTTGGGTAACTCCCCCCCCCCCCCCAAAGTATAGCTGTCTCTTTATTGAAAAACAATTTGTGCGGTGAAGAATATGTTCATAAAGTAGTGTAAAGGATAAGTAGCTAAATAAGCCTGAATAATCGGAAAAAAAATGATCTATCATGGTAATTCTTACGTTAAAAGATGCCACGTTGTCACGTGGTATTGTGCATTTTACACATACACTGGTAGCAGTTCCGGTTGTTAATTTTATATTGTGAAAATAACACTTATTATATTTGATTAATTTCACGTTTTGATAAAAGTTATTTTCACACTTTGAAATTGAAAAGTGTTATTTTCTCATTATGAATATAACAACTATAAAAATATAAATGTTAATGAACGGATAATTTTCGATATATATCAGTGTTGAAAATGTATTAAAAAATAAATAAAGTAATGAATGAAACCGATTACGCTGAATATGTACACTGGAAACGACACGGTCTTACACATATGAATCAAATAGAAACGTAAATTGTAAAATAAAAGCCAGCCAATAATATAGCTGAATGTTTGTCGTCAATTTAAGAATCCCTCTACTCAAATATACTCAATAAATATATATGTACCAAGCTTTGATAGTAGATCAGAGAGCATGGGAATCTACATTTGATTGAATCAACTAAATTTATTCACGAAAGTTTATTATGTATAGATTCTCCCAGTCTATTAAAGGGTGTCTATAAAATAATGAAATTTACAAATGAGTGTGGTAAAACGTCCCCAGTATTGAGTATCTCGTACATTATCCATTAACAGGGAGATTTGCAGCCAGTTAGGATGCTTATTGATTCTAGGTCTGAGACTTACTCAAAAGGCTGCTCAAAATCCGATAGTTAGAACTGTAAGTAAAACGTCTGAGTTAATTATGTCCCTTTAAAACGCTTTCACATTAGTATTTAACATTTAAAAAATGGTGTATGCTTAAAGCGCAGGGTTCCGCCAACCCTTCGAGTTGCATAGGGATAGCAGGATTGTGTATTTAAAATAAAATTTTCACTTTTTTGTATGACAGCTATCAGAGTAAAGTAGATTCGATTGTTTGTTTGATTTTTCATCAGATTCGCAATTATTAATACCATACTTTGAGACAAAAATCATTTATGAAGCTGTTTTTTTTTTTAAAAAAGGAAACGTAAATTCTTTTATCTATTACAGAGTTAATAAAGCTCTTTCCGTAACCGTAAATTCGACATTGAGTTATATCGACGAATGATTTATTAATAGCATTCATTTTCTTTCATATGTCGATATGTCGACCCGTGCTACTGAATGCTGTCATCAATGGAAAACTAATCTTACTTATCTTAAAACTTACCTATCTAAATGAGAAATAGAATGACTGCAGTTTTTCCATCATCAACTATATATATTATGACTAGTCTCCAAATTGATTGATTCGGCTCGCAAGAGAATGTGTTGAGTACGGTCAATTTTTAAACCGAGACAGGCTACGAACTAATAACTTGATGCAACAGTGGTTTCAACAATTTCGTTAAATGTCAGCATCTTGAATTCTATGGTCGTTACATTGACTTTGTTTTCAAATACAGCCTTTCGTTGGATTGAATTTCAACAGGCAAGTTACTAACCAATTATTAGGCTATCGTTGTCAGTTTGATATTTAAAAAATTAACCATTTACGGGATCAGTATAGAGGAATAGCAGCAGATATGACCGGTCAACAAGAATACTCTTCCTGACCCAACTCTAGTACTTGGTGAAAAATGTTGTTTCCCATGGTAAACTACCGTCAAACCTCGTTATCTCGAACTCTATGGGACCAAGAAAAAACTTCGAGATAATCGGGGCTTTGAGATATCAGGGGTAAAATACTTAAGGAATAAGGGGTTTGGAAATCAAAAAAAAAAAAAAAAAAAAAAAAAAAAAAAAAATTCGACATATCCATGGTATTCGAGATATTCGTATATGCTGTTTGTAGGGGTCTGTGTTTTTTGCCCTAGAGCTGTTCTCGATTTGTATTGCTTATTATAGATTTATGAGATTGACCGCTATTTGTTTTTACGCTTTTTGATATGTTCCTTAACAAAGGAAATAAACATTACATATTAAATTTATTTATGCTGTTGCGTAACATTTCCTGACGGGGAATAAAATTGTTAACATATTTTACTGCTCCTTGTGAGTTGAATTATTCACGATTTTATGCCCTAAGCATAAATTACACTTTAACATTAATAGAGAAATTCAACACTGATTCGTATCTGAAGTTTCTACAAGCATCCCTTTACCCCTAATCCTCATCAAAATCTAATGGTTATACACAAGCATCCCTTTGTTTTTTCCTAATCCTCATCAAAATCTAATGGGTATGTAAAAGCATTCCTTTGTTTTTTTCCTAATCCTCATCGAAATCTAATGGATATCTACAAGCATCCCTTTGTTTTTTCCTAATCCTCAACAAAATCTAATGGGTATTATTATTATTATTTTTTTTAGATATATTGCAGGTACTTTGTAGGTAAAGCTTTAACTTCTTTACACATTCGCTGGTCAAGAAAGCATTTTTTTTTTATAAAGTTTTATTTTTTGAAAATGACAAGTTTTCTGAAATACTAGAACTGCTCTAGTCTCAATTATCGCATACCCTAAAAATTTTGCCTCTATAAATTCTCTGCAATTTTTAACATTTTCTCCCTCTGTCAAAACTACTCTTTTTTCATCTCATTGTACAAGTATTATGATAAGTTCCTTATCCAGGCACAACTTCGTGCAAAAACTGGATGCTCCATACACTACTTATGTTTATGTTTAAATTAGTTCTTGGATACGCTAAGTCTTTTTGAAACTAAGACATGTTTCCAGTTGCCGAGGAAATTCAGCTGGAAAGCAGTAGTCCTAAGAAGGTCTGTATCTCAGCCGGAGGGAAGGTGAATGGGCACGGATCAATTGGTTGAGTTTTATTAGAGCATGCAATGATCCATAGAATGCTGGGAGTTTCATCTCTCTCGCTCGGGACAGGGAGAGGCTGTCTGGGTGCGAATGAGGCCAAAATCTTGGAAGAAACAAGCCAAAGTTTTGGGAGGACCCAAAGTGCATTACTGTAATAGGTAGATTACATGCTATATGTTGACATATTTTGAGCTATGGATATACGAAATGCAATAAATTAGCCCCCCCCCCAAACTGTACCAACATACATTTGTATCTGTTTTTATTGACCTCATGCATGCCCGTAGCAATGGTTTCAAAAGGGGGGGGGCAACCTCCCAAACACAAAAAAATCTGAGAATCCCCCCCCCCCAAAAAAAAGAAAAAAAAAACCTAATTTACTGTCTGAATCCTTAAATTTCATGTGATCGACCTTACAGCAACAAAAAAGGGGGGATCAGGTCTGAAGAAGAAAAATTTAATACCGCAAAATACAATGCTATACTCAGAAAAAAATTCCCCCGCCCCGCGTTCTACGGGCCTGTCATGTATGTGCGTTACCCCTTCGGCATATGTTTGGCAGTATTTAAAAAAACAAAACAAAATATGTTTATGAAACACTTATGCCCCCATATGACAACTTATAGCGAAGGTTAAACTTTCTCAAATGCAAATCAAATATGTTGGTACCGAAGTAAGGTCTTGTCTCGAAGAGTATACCTGTGAAATATGAAATCCCTAGCAGCAACCATTAAAAAGATATGGAAAAGGTTAAAGTTTTTCAAAAGTGAGTCAAAAAGCAAGGTTATGGTCAAATGGTCAAAATTAATGGTGCCCAAGGAAGGGCCTTCTCACAAGAAATACACATGTTAAATGAAAGCCTTAGCACCAACCATTCAAAAGTTATGGCCAAGGTTAAAGTTTTTCAAAAGTAGATCAAACTACAAGGTCAAGGTGAAAAGGTCAAAGTTCTTGGTATCCAATTGAAGGTCGTGTCATAAGGATTACATATGTGAAGTATGAAAGCCCTAGCAGCAACTGTACAAAAGTAATCGCCAAGATTAAAGTTTTCCAAATGTAGGTCAAACTCAAAGGTCAAAGGGTCAAAGTTCTTGGTATCCAAAGGAAGGTATTGTCACAAGGATTACATATGTGAAGTATGAAAGCCCTAGCACCAACTGTTCAAATTTATGGCCAAGGTTAATGTTAAGTAAAATTTTGCAAAACTGGGTCAAACAGATTCGTTTTAGGTTTAAACTCGTTTAAGTTATTTAAACTAATGTAAACGACAGAGTAAGTCAAAGAAGCACAACTCTTTAATCTCTTTTTAAAGATTTGCAGTAGGGCTACATCTATAATTTGTTTTACATTCAGACAGTCAAAGTATCATTTTATTATTTTTAATGATTCCAGGGCAAATAACAGGGTTTTTTTTTTAAAATTTTCCAAACAATTTCTACGTTTTTAAGCAATACCTATTCATTATACATGTAGGTATGACATGGTTAAACTCCAGGTTTTGGGAAATAAAAGATAAATATAAAACATGTACAATAAAATATGATTCACCCCAATAACAAGTGTGTGAGTGGTGTTCTACAACATCTTAGGACACGTGACTTTTACCTATAAATATCTACTCTCCAAGGTAATATGTTATCATGCATAACTCTATTTATTGCAATACTCATTCAGTTGTACTCAATGTGTGATAAGGTTTTGTTGGTTATCTCTCTAGGTGACCAAAATGAAGGTAAGAATAAAAGTTCAAGTCAAGTAAGAATCAAAGTATAGATTTTAAAATAAAGAGAACGATATTTGATGTCTAATCAGTACTGAATACCAAGAGTTCCTTAAAAAAAATATGTTTTGATGACTTATGCCTGCAGATGCAAACACAGGTAGTTGTATTCTGTATTTTAATTTGACTTTTCTCCACCTTTAAGGAAACTACACACTCAGAAATCTTAATTATTTTCTTATCGTTTCATTCAATAGTCGATTGGAATTGAAATATTTTTTTGAAATTGTACTCTTCAGTTGACTAATTGGATTGTTTCAGACTCTATGTCTCTGGCTGAGTCTGCTGGTGGCCATTGTATCGACAGCCCAGTACGACTACTGTTTACAGCATGCCCCTGATGGGGCCGTGAATGGCTGCAGCCTTCCTCCACTCGTGCACTTTAACTATGAGTACCAATTCACACCGTCATGTAACAAACATGACATCTGTTATCATTGTGTAAGTACTAAAAAAACAAACTCGATCCTTCAGTCCTTATATTTTAAAAGCTGATTACAATAACAGATAAATATATTAATAAAGTTTGAAATGTAGTACTTAAGGACAGAGAAAGAAGAAAAAAAAAACAACAATTGCAAAGGTTTTTGGTTAAAGTGCTAATTAACATCCTAGCCTTGAGTTGAGTACTTGTATCGGAAATCAACAGATTCTTGATCGGCATGTGCTGGAGAATGCGTAACTTAAAGTAAATTCTAATGTAAAATATTTTAACTCTGACCACCCGTAAAGTTCTTCAATGAAATCTCCAGAAATTAGATCAGTGAATCATAGTTAAGAAAGTTGCCATCACCAACTTAAAGATGAACTAGTTGACTGTCTCCCCTTTTATTTTTGGCGCAGGGTCACCACTATGGAATTACAAGATCCGATTGTGATCACAAGTTTCTGCATAATATGCTTGCTACGTGCACTTCCAAAAAGAGGCTATTGAACTGCCAGCACTCAGCGGACGCATTTTTTGGTGCCGTCCGTACGGCCGGAGGACTTATCTATAGAACGGAAGTCCCACACTACTGCACAGATTCTTGGGTTCACAATTGTCTTACATAAAACACACTGTCCAAATGAAAGCTTAACACACGTAAAAAAAAAATGTCAGATGCTTTCTTTTTTATTGAAAATTAAAATCTGAAATCAAAAGGGCAAAGACTCTTTAATAAGTTTAATCCAAAACCTGTTAAAATTACGTACTTTTGAAACAATATTTTGGCAAAAGTCTCTGAATAACATATTTGCTTGAGGTGAAACTTGAACAGAATTTAATCAACTGTAGGTTGGAGAAAAATAACTTCATTAAATATTTCTGCATATATACTGAGTCAAAAAAAAGTTAAGCAGTATTCTAGTACGATTTTTTGAATAATGAAGTGAATGATTCAAGTTTGGAAATTAATTAAGGAATATTGTTTTAAAAAATAATTAGATAATTGTTGATGAAAGTAAACAATTTTTTATTATATGTAATCAATATGGACCATATTCATATCAGTCTAAAGAATGACAGAATTTAAGTATCTTATATTATCCATACCCCATACTCATTACGGAGGCGATTACAGATAGTTTTAGAAGAATCTCCAACTCCTACTGCTGCCCTAATATGTGGTTTGCTTGCAGAAATCTGTCGCATCTTGACTTAGGTGAATGGAAAGTTCTAATCTGGCCGTCAGGTAATTTGGTATCCTCTAGAGTTTTCCTGTAGCGACTAACCTATCAGTACATAGTGTTTCTATGACCAGCAACATCAGAAACTTTCATGCCAGCATTCGCCAAATTCTAAGAATTAACTTAAGTCTTTGGCGGCTCATTTTGGGGAAGACTTCTGCGTTTGGCCTTTAAAATTTTGTTGCAGAATGTGTGCTTCTTATTTATCTTTAACCCATTTTGATTCAAAAGCAGTTTGAAAGACCATACATTTAGAAAAACATGCAAGTCTTTTTTTTTTTTGGCACGTTCTATTAGCGACGCTAAATCAGCCGTGAAAAATGCGCACGGTTTTCAAAGAAGGTTAATATTTGTGTTCGATATTCATCAATTTTGGAATTCACAAGATATTCAATTTTTTTTTTTAAAATTCACCATAGAAAAGATCAGAGTTGCTTAACTTTTTGTTTGAGTATATTTGTAACGTGTGAAATCATTGAAATTTGCGGCATATTTGTATAGTATTGCTGAGCGTTCTGAATCGGAAGTTACTGTATAGTTCTCATCACGTGCTGTCCTTGTTTCTTTGTTTTCTCTGTTGTAACATACGTAATGAACCATTCTTCTTATCTTTTTGACGATTTCACCATTTTCTGATATCATACCAGGAAAATAATACAAAGACACCATAGACGCTTTCCTGAGCTGAGAGTGTACTACCCACTGCCGTATAAAGAGACCCATAACACGCTAAATCTGCTGGCGATTTTTTTCTTTCAAAGTCGCACAACTCTCAGATATGTTGGAATTTGTCGTCTATTCACCTTTTCGTAACAATTGTACTCCGGTCGTATTCAGACAAACACTGAATCGTTTTCTATCTGACCTTCTTTCCATAGTTTGATATTTCGTAACAGAATTTCCTCATATTCAGAGTCGTTCGTCATGTCTCTGCTGGAAAGAACATTTGGATATTTTGTCACTATATCGGAAAACCTTCGTGCCGACAGATACGGTTTTTCGGGAACTAAAAGGGTTGACTTTTCTGGCAAATGGTCAGCGTCACTGACGGAATTTATTGGCGCTCCGAAATCATCATCCGATGTATATAGATCTACAAAGACAAAATTATCATATATTATGTGCATTCATAAAAATGTGAGTAGCATTATTTATAAATGATTTTCACTCGTATCAAAGCACAGTAATCTGTCAATGCGTGTACCTTCTACACTGGACACAGACGTGTTCATCATGTAATAAGGAGAGTACGTGGGGGCGCTCTGGCGCCTAAGAAGTGGAGCTTCAGGGCTCGATAGTGCCTCAGGTGGGACAATATTTACACCTAAAAATTAATGTAAAAGCTAAATCACAAGTATACCTTTTGCATACAGAAAAACAAGCTGCCAACTTTTCAGTGTTAATATCTGGATATTAATGCAAATTATGAGAATTCATGAAAAAGAAAAAAAATATGGAATTCTCATGTTATAAATCGAACTCGACTTATAATAGTTTTAAAAAATACTTCTTGTACACTTTATTTGAAATTTAAAAGAAGACCCCCCCCCCCCCTCCACTTGATTTACCTATGTAACCTTTCTTTCCGTTAATTTTCGTAATGAAGGTTCTGGACATCACGTGATTATCTGGCGGGAATCTAGACTTGTTCATCTTTTGTATAGTCTCACTAATGGTAATTAACTGCTTCATTAAATCTACATCCTGTCGCCGAAGGTCAGTCTGGAAAAAAACGTATCAAAGTAGATACATATTAAGTTAAAGGATTCAATTTTGACAAGCAGTTACTGTTAATACTTTCTTTACAATAATTCTTAAAATATTATAAGCAGCAAAAGCGCAGTCAGACTGGATGTCCTGTAACATTTATCAAATTAACCTCGTCATTAATTGTAATGCAGAGGTTATTTGTTAAAAGTTAAGTAACATCCAGCGTAATTATTAATTTTGTCTTATTCATTCGATTATTTTAGTCAGAAAATTGGTATTCAATAAGAATTCTTTAATCAAAACTACTTTTATAGATATGTAGTAAATGGATACTTTTTTGAAAAGAAGAAGAAAAACTTTGAGGAATATTTGGTTATCTCTCTTTCAACAGATCCACGAATATCTTGCACTTTGAAAAGAAATGGAATGGTTTTTAAATGCATGACAAACGTTTGAAAACATGATCTAATTTTTCATTGAGTTTTTGTCAGTCTTAATTAATTCTATGGATCAACAAATTATGTGACTTATGTTTTTATATGGTAATGTCCAGCAGCAAAGATTAAAAGATAAATCTAAAACATATACACGTGTTTTAGAACACGAATTCTAATTTCTTATGCTAGGTAGTAAAAGTCTGTAAAACTTACAAGTTCGGACTTTATGGCCTCCAGTTTGTCAGATATAGATTCCGGAAAAGACATGTTGATATATGTTAAAGCAAAACAACAGCGAAGGCTATCGAAACTGTAAATAATCATGTAACTAACATCCTACTATTATAATCAGAGGGTTAATTGCCCCCCTGAGTACCGCTACCGGAACAAGTCACAAGTACTTGTTTCTTAGGTGCATTTGTGAAAATTATTTTTTAAAAATTTAAAACGGTTCAAATTGATCTGCTATTGAAATCTTTTGTCAAATTTAATGGTCTGAAGTGTGTTATTTTCATAACCTATTACATGTAATCTCCCCCTTGCATTGAAATCAGTAACGAGTTAGACCAAAGCAGTAAAGTCATTCATAAACAAGTTAAAATATTTCCCAATAATCATTGAAGGTCTTTACCTGTTCTTTTCTATAGGGCTTTGTAATATAAAATGACAATTGATACTTTTAAATGTCTTATTAATCTGACCTCCAAATGCATACTATCACCTTTATTTAATCAGCACGATTGTAATTGGAGGCAGTCTATGGCAGTTATTAAAATGAACGATTTATATGTTGTGTTCGTGTGCTCACGAAACATTTAGAAGAGAAGGAATATAGGCAAACTAATACTGAAAGAATTTAAAATAAATTATTTGTATGGGTAGGAGGTACAAAAAGGAGAGAATACGACTGCAAAAATTTGAAAAGTTCAATAACTCTTATATGTTACAGTGTGGTCCTGAGGGTTGTACAACGTAATATAACAGTATTAAATTTTGCTATAAATTCTTACCAAAATACGCATCTTTGAGTAGGTGGTCTTAATTTAAAAGAAAATTTTGAGAGGTTTCCTTTTCAGATCTTGTAAAACAATTCTTTATAACGATTTTAGTACCAAAAAATACATAGCCATCAAGTAGATCAGGTGCTTGAAAATCAAGTTCAGGACCTAATCATTCCCCACTCATATACAGTACATGTGTATATAGAAAAATCAGCGCGCCCTAAATTATAATGAAACTGGTCAATACAGGAAGTTTATATATAGTTTTTCCTCTCATAAAAAAATCAGTTCCAGTCTCGTGCAAAAAATGCCCGGAAGGAAGATTCAGAAATTATTTTCCGTCAGCCATGTCTTGACGTGAACCCCAAGTATTTCGTGAACCTGAAGTATTTCAACTGAGATACTGTTATGAAACCCTTACGCCATGACTATCAGAGTCCGTCGTCCGTCTGTTCATCTGCATACAATTTTTCGAAATCCATCTCCCCCCCTCCCCCTTTTTCAGTTTTGTTTCCATGTCGAATACACCAAGACGCATAAGTAATTGATATCCACTAGGAATAGTAAACTATTACAGATAGTTTCGCTAAAAAAATCAAATAAAAAGACATTTTCTTCTGACATCTGACATGAATTTAAAATGTTTACCGGGGTTTTTATACATTCAAAGTTTTCTTTCAGTTTATATCTGCATATATAGTACAACATGTTCAGATATGAAGCAATGTTCACTATCATAATTATAAAAAAATCACTAAAACCATGCACTTATAAAAACACTGGAACCAGCTAAAAGGCCTACTAGAGTTAGGATCTTGAACGACCTGCTACATGTTCGTAGGGAGAACAAACGTTAATTCATAGAATGCGTTCAATAATCCTTGATGCATGCATCAGACTAGCTTCTAAGATATGCCCAGATGGTAAAGTTAGTTGTCAGGATGCAGGCCATGCAAGGTATGCCAAAAAAAAAAAAAAAAAAAAAAAACACGAATGGTTGGCTCAGGTTGTACTCTTTTATTGTCCCTTGCTTTCGCTAAAAGCGGAGGGCACTAGTATTAATCTGGGTCCGTCAAATATTAATTATTAATTTTGATATTAAAAGGATTCTGAAATTTCTCATTGACAACATCTATGTAGTCTTTGAAGACCGTGTCTTCTAACAATCTGTGGGAATTTCAATGGTCACTTATTGTTCTTCTTTATCATCCAACTGTTTTTATATTCAATTATAGCAGAATTTATTCAAAAACTTCTATATGAGAAGGAGAAACACTTTCTGTGGCCTTCAGCTCGACATTCAGGTATATTGACGACGTTTTATCAATTAACAAAAGTTACTTCTATTCATATGTCGACTCGATGTATCACAGTGAACCAGAAAGAAAAAAAATATCAAATAGTATGCCACATCTATGTCATATTTGGATATTTTACTGACTATAGAAGATAAGGGCCAACTAACAACTAAATTGTATTACAAACGATATGACTTCAGCTTTTCTATCATCAACTTTCCATATTTATGTACATGTATATAGTAATATTCCACTATCACCTGCAAATGGTGTTTAAATGTATGTCTCTCAACTCATTCGATACTCAAGAGCATGCTCTGAATACAATCAATTTTTAAGCCGAGGCATTCTACCGACAAATAAGTTGATGTTACAGGGATTTCAACAACCTCGTTTGAGGTCAGTATTCACAAATTCTATGGTCGTTATAATGACCTTGACTTATCATCAAATACAATTATCATTGAGTCGTTGTCTGATTGACATATTTGAAACCAATTCTTAGGTCCTTGTTACATATACTTAATTTGACTACGGATTATTCGGTCTATCTGATGAATACATGGACCGACTAACGGCGGGTATGACCGGTCTATCTGATTAATACATGGACCGGCTAACGGCGGGTATGTCCGGTCTATCTGATCAATACATGGACCGACCAACGGCGGGTCTGACCGGTCTATCTGATCAATACATGGACCGGCTAACGGCGGGTCTGACCGGTCTATCTGATCAATACATAGACCGACTAACGGCGGGTCTGACCGGTCTATCTGATCAATACATGGACCGGCTAACGGCGGGTATGTCCGGTCTATCTGATCAATACATGGACCGACTAACGGCGGGTCTGACCGGTCTATCTGATCAATACATGGACCGACTAACGGCGGGTCTGACCGGTCTATCTGATCAATACATGGACCGACTAATGACGGGTCTGACCGGTCTATCTGATCAATACATGGACCGGCTAACGGCGGGTCTGACCGGTCTATCTGATCAATACATGGACCGACTAACGGCGGGTCTGACCGGTCTATCTGATCAATACATGGACCGGCTAACGGCGGGTATGTCCGGTCTATCTGATCAATACATGGACCGACTAACGGCGGGTCTGACCGGTCTATCTGATCAATACATGGACCGGCTAACGGCGGGTATGATCGGTCGACAGAGGATGCTTATTCCGCCTAGGTACCTGATTCCAGCTGTGGAAGTTCCAGGGGTCTGTGATTTATGTCCTGCTCACAGATTTGTATTTGTTTATAGGTTTTTTGAGATCGATCACTTTTCGTTATCTTCACCTCTTTCAATCAGGTAACTTTCTCTTTGAGCTTTTGCAATGAAACTCAAGGTGAAGAATCTTTCAACTGAAAAAAGTACTTCTATTGATTTTAAAGCCAAAAGATGAAAGGTCAAGGTCAATCCTTCTTTTTTTCTCCATCCGCATTTTTTAGGTTCTTTCACCCATTTATTTTTCTTCTTCAGTGGGGGACATTTATTCCATGGAAAAGCTTGTTTCATGTTTATGTGATGATTGCGATTTCCAAAACTATAAAAAGCATTTGCAAAAATGAATCATGAGTCCATGTTCCGTCAGCGTTTTTTTAAACACATTCTAGATAAACATTAATATATAGACACAAAAAAATCATGCAGGGCTATCCGAACAGCTATAAGAACCCTAGACGTTAACATATTGTAAGCTACCCAAGGGGTGGCTAGTATTTCTGAATCCTCAGTATGTATACAGGTCATTGCTTCATCATCTAAATAAATCATCTATTTACCAGGATGCACCAATTTAATTTGTTCTCATGTAAAATAGACCAGGCTCTTCTCTCTGTAGATACTTAGTGGAATAATACTTAAGATGATGATCAGTCATGCTTATCATTTATTGTACGTACAGCATCTCATTATCATAACAATATAGGCAATACTCATATAACAACATAAGAAAACATAGCTGATTCTTCAGAAACACAAGTTTAGGTCGTCCAGTGTGGTAGGAGATTTCTAACTAGGCTAATTACGTGTAATTTACATTATAAGTATCTCACCGTCTTTGTTTTCTTCTTTATCTTTTTAAATCTTGCCGCCGTACAACTAGCTGAAATCTGTCGTAACGTAGTACGCGCTTGCTTATATAACCTCCCATCCCCTGTCACATGACTCAAATTATCCAATGAAAATATGCCGTACAAACTATCAACCAATCAACAGCTTGTACGGGAAGCTGAGTTCCCACACAAGTTCCCACACAGAACTACTTTTGCCACACAAGCTGCCGTACAATATCGTAACAAATATAACAATGTAAAATTAACAACTGGAAATAGAATACATAAAATAAACTTGACTAGACAAATAAATTAATACCTTCAATGTTTATAAAACATCCCTAGGCTATACAATAGGTACTGAACAATGTAGCGTATGAATATCGTAACTACAGTCCCTGAAACGTTCTACTTTTCCACTTGAACGGCGAGCGAACGCTGAACGAACGGTGAACGAACGCAGAGCGAACGGTGAGTGAACGATGAGTGAACGCTGAACGCAACTTGGTGAACGATGTGTGAACGCTGAACGGTGAGCGAACGCAGAACGCGAACGGAGCGCAAACGCGAACGCAAAGTGAACGGTGAACGAACGGTGAACGCAAGATGAACGATATATTCGGAATGCCTCTGATCTTTTCCTTGCATTGAAACTATTTTATTGTTTTATAATGTCAGTGCAAAAAAAAAAAAAAAAAAAAAAAAAAATAAATAAATAAATAAATAAATAAATAAGTAAACCAATAAATGAATGAATAAATAAGTCAATAAAATAAATTCTCCAAAATTGTCCTAAGAAAGACGATGCATGCACATTAAGTTTTTAATCACACGATTTTTATTGCATTAAAACATTGCAATTGTTTCCGAACGCTGAAGTATAAACAAATCAGAGAAAACT